GATAAAACTTAAATACAGAAATGCATCATAATATGCATGTTAGTACACAGATTCAATACTAAAACAAAGGGCAATTTTTTTTGAAATTTCAAATTACCTGGTCAGTAAAGTTCATATGTGAAAGTGGGGTCAGATTTAATCAAGATATTGTTTTTTTGTGTAATATATTATTCTTGAAGTTATAGAAGTAGTGTTCTTTTATAAATGATTTCTTTCTAGAAAAAGTCAAATCACAGTTGGGTAAGTAATTATTTTTTACAGTAGACAAATCACAAATCAATACTTTAGATTTTCTAAAAGAATAAAAATTGATAGAGTCATTTTCGAAACTAATAAACATTTTAGTCTGTACCGTAAATACAACAAAGAAGTTTATATTTGGTGAATATTTCCAGAGTGGAACTTTGAATTGACCAAAAGAAACTATGCAGTCCTCATACTTAGAATAAAACTTTAAAAATAAGCAGAGTATAAGCACAAAATAAACAGAAATGTTGGCCGGAGACCACTAAAATTTAACTAAAACTACCATAAAGTAATAATCAGTGATCTCCCACAGCAGTAAAGGGATGGTAACCTGATATATCCCCCCACCCCTCCTCAGTTTCATATTTAGATCTGTGTTTTTGTCACTTAAAAGCATATTCCATCATGATCCTGATGCTAAATATTCCTTCAGGTACTGGTCTTCTTAACCAGTGACTTAATTTTTACCCTGAAAATATACATTAGCTCGTCTGGAGGACAGATATGAGTTTTATCTAAGGTTTGGGTTTTTACCAGTATAAAGATGGGAATAATTGCCAGAACCTTCCAAACAGTACCCTTGCTTTTTTATTAGCCAACAGTGGTATATCATTTATAATCAATTTTTTAAAATTAAAGTATGATTTTATTGATACTGAATGTTTTATCCAAGGAATAAGTTTTATAAATTGATACTCAAACTACTCCTATATCGACTCTAAATTAAGAAATAGACTCGGTGTACAAAAAGCTGCAGAACTAGTATTTAGTTAAAGAATGAAAAGAGGATAAAAATTAAGATTGGAAAAAATGTCTGGATTATTCAAAGATGCTCATAAAAATAGCAGAAGCAATAAAAATCATTTTCTGATGGTAAAAAATAAAATGCTTCTTTTTTTAAAAACAATAAAAGCCACTAGAAAAACATCTTTTATGAAAGTTTTAAAAACCTTGGGAAAAATATGTTTTTCTAAAGCTGGTAAGACCCTCACTTAGTAAATACAATACTAACATTGTAAGTTACCTTCATTATTATTATTATTTTTTTTTTAAACTTCATATTTGCCACTGCTGTGCTTTTTTCTGACCACAAAATACAATACATTAAAGTGATGTACAAACTATGTGAGTTACGAAAACATAAAATTAAGAAAACTTAAAATCTATATATATATTTCTCTTACACGGCGACAAAAAAAAAATCTCATTACAACTTCCCGAATGGCAACGCTAGAAAATCAACCAATGATTGCCGTTAAAAATGTCACATGCCGAAACTAGCTGAGTTGGCTCAACATATAGCGCTTTTAAAAACGGAAACTGAAATAACAATTCAGCTGCAGCAATCTTATACCATTAAGCTAGGCAGAAGTGAGTAGTGAATTACTGTCTATAGATCTCTATTTTAGTATTTCGTCGAAAGTGCTTTTTTTCACGAATTTATACATTACGAATGTATTTGACGATTTTTGATTTATACCACGAATTTATTTGTTTTATTATTTTCACTAGTTATTCATTGAAAAATGAGTCTCTATTTGAATTCAAAATTTTAAATGACTTAGTATTTACCAAAAAATAAATTTTTTTTTTAAAAAAAGTTATGTGGATTTGAATGATTGTTTTGAATTCTTAGAATTTTGTGTATTTGCAATGTACCTAAGTTAGTAGCGAGCGAAGCAAACCATACAAGNAAGATAAACAAATTTGTGAAGGATCCGATTAAAAGAAAAATCATTTTGTGAAGGGTCCGTTCTAAAGTCAAAATATTTCGTGAAGGGTCCGTTTTTATGAAAATATATTTTGTGAAGGGTCCGTTAACGGACCCAAATTTCTTCTTAACAGACCCCTGTACATATATATTTCTCTTACACGGCGACAAAAAAAAACTCTCATTACAACTCCCCGAATGACAAAGCTAGAAAATCAACCAATGATTGCCGCTAAAAATGTCACACGCCGAATTTAGCTGAGTTGGCTCAACATATAGCGCTTTTAAAAACGGAAACTGAAATAACAATTCAGCTGCAGCAATCTCATACCATTAAGCTAGGCAGAAGTGAGTAGTCTTTGTCTATAGATCTCTATTTTAGTATTATGTCGAAACTGCTTTTTTTCACGAATTTATATATTACAAATGCATTTGACGATTTTTGATTTATACCACGAATTTATTTGTTTTATTATTGTTATTAGTTATTCATTGAAAAATGAGTCTCAGTCAATGAGTCTTTATTTGAATTCAAATTTATTTTAATGACTTAGTATTTACTAAAAAGATGTAATTTTTTTTAAAAAAAAAGTTGTTATATGGATTTGAATGATTGTTTTGAATTCTTAGAATTTTGTGTATTTGCATTGTACCAAAGTTAGCATCGAGTGAAGCGAGCTTGGTTTGCGAAGCAAACCATATAAGATTGCGTAGCAATTTTCGGGGTTGGCGAGCGTTAGAGAGCAGGGGACACAGCCCACTAGTATATAATAATTATCAAAGAATCTATATGACACAAATTTTAAATCTAACAAAAATCATGAGCATTATCATTATTTAATCGCTTCCCTGATTATCTCGAGCTAACTCAGGCATGTATAGATTGCAAATATTTATTATCCCGAGTAAACTCTGGGAATAGTAGAATTCGTCAATACGTTTTCTTTTATCACGTTTCTACTCAAATCAAAAAATAATGATAATCTGCTGTGATTGGAAGTTTGCCAACTTTTGTTTAAGAGTTTTGCTGTTTGTAGGACTGCAGGCGTGTTTTGTGCAATTGTATATACGATGATTGCTGAATTTACATAGAAAAAGAGTAAAAAAGCGAAAGTAAAAGCAACGTAGCGTGTTTGTGGGACTGCAGGCGTGTTTTGTGCAATTGTATATACGATGATTGCTGAATTTACATAGAAAAAGAGTGAAAAAGCGAAAGTAAAAGCAACGTAGGTGATTTTTCAGATTATGTGAACAAATACAAAGACTAATATTTAACTTTTTTCATTTGCCCGAGATAATTTGGAATAGTAAACTGATGGTAAATTAAATATTTTATACACATAAAAAAATTAAAATTTCAACTTAGAACTTGTGTATTATGTTTTGATCTTGTTCCTTGTATTTATTATTGAAATAAAAATATATGTTGATTTTTTTGCTCTCAAAAAAATTGATAAGGGAAGCAGCTAACATCTTTAGAATATTTCGTACAAAATTTAAACCCAGGAATCTGATAACTAAATACGGCCATCAAACTCTAAATCAAAGACACCTTATACATAGAAACACTTTTATCTCCAATCTATTAGATGGACATGGAAAGATTAAATAGAATAATGCAGATATGCATGTAAATTTGCTATTGATAGGAGATAGATAAAAAAATGTTCCACTAATTGAGCAGGTGGACTTAGTCACTATTTTCTTCATCTAATGCATGAAATTTAATAACATGTTTCTATTAATAAATATGATATTTATTTCTAATGATTCAATGATATTAATCTAAAGTTTATAAATGGACATAGAAGTTATCTTCAGTTACATAGATAACAGTCTCTAAATTAAAAGATTCTTTTTAAATGTATTAGAATGTTATCACCAATGGAACAACATTGAAAAATATTTAACATATTAAATTTTATATCACCCAATTTTGTATTTACCACTCAATTTTATATTAATATTATTTAACACAAATTTTATATTTTATCACTCAATCAAATATAAAAATAAATGCCAAACTTAATAATTAACTTTTAAGAGTAAAATACACAGAAAATTAAAAGTTTTCGCTGATAGTCATACTATGATACCATGGGGTACGGAATTAAAATACATGGTCAAAATAGCTCTCTAAACTTCACACATTTTTTTCTTCGACGTTTACTAAATACTTGCAAAAAGATAGATTATTTTTCACCGCGTTAACACCTCTACATGCTTTTTTTTTTCCTTCTATTTTTCCCTTTAAAATTAATTTGGTGCCTCGGCGATTGCAGATCACAATACAGAAATATCCTCAATCATTCAAAATTATTTTCTTTATTTGTGTGTAATATTGAAGGAGACTTTTAGAGATTTCTAATTATTGTAGGAGACACCCCATGTACAATATTCATATTATTACTATTCAGAAAATAATACATTAATATCCAAAATTGATATTCTGAATTTATCCCAAGATTTTCTTACACTAACCATTAAAGCTTTAAAAACATCCGTTAATAATACAATAAAGAAATATAGCTAGAGTCTAATGCTTGATCTTAGTTTTTTATCTGTGGATATAATACTCTAATTTATAACCAAATATTGATTGATAAATGAATATTTGATTAGTTAAGCATTAATAAGCGTATCTAATAATTAAAAGAGTAGGATTAAAACAACGTAATTCAAAGGAAAATAATCACTATAAACTACATTTTTTATTACACTGAACAAAATATGATAAATGTATACAAGAATAAATTTAAACACCGTGATAAGATTATATTTTCAATAAAACGGGCGATATCTAGTTTAATAAAGTACTTTCATTACATTTATTTAGCATATTAACCTACTAAAACTACATTTTATTTTTTGCATGATAATTTACTTAAATCCTCATATTACATTTGATATATTATAACAAAAACTATTCTGAATTTTATCATCAGATTAAATTTTTAATGAATCGGAAAGTATCTTCTTTTGTATTATAATAAATATAATGTGATATAAAAATATAAATGAAATAAAATCTCATTTTACTTACGGAAATTCTGTAGTGCCAACCATTGCTTTAGTTCGAAATTCAAGATTTAAATAGAAAGTGGAAAAATAATTAATGATAATAAGAAATATTTTAAACTAACAACTATATCTTAGTTCGAATAATTCTCTGTAGATTTATATAAATTTTGTTATTTTCAGTGAAAACGAAGGCAGCAGAACTGCGAGCACAAGAAAATAGCTAGCAGCCGTATCAAAATATAAAAACGAAAAGAACGATTTGCGACGGACAATACAGTTAACATTCAGACAGACTATTTATTTTATAACTGTAAACTATAAACAGACATTTTCTTGTAAACGTCATAAGATTGTTAACCAATAGACAAAAAGAACGTTGAAAACCACGTGCTTAAAAATGACCAATAAACGGGGTCTTCTCCATGTAGTCTCAAAACGATAATTCTTTAATCTTAATCGGATTTCTAGTTATTTAATATGGATGATATAATGGATGGTGTTTTCAATAAAAATGTAAACAATACTCGGCACCTACTCTAGTTCCGGTTAAAAAGTTTGCAGCTGCTTACTACATGTTATTCTGATAGGCGATATTTTCAAACGGATAATTTTGTTTTCAATAAAAGAAATAAATTAGATAATTTCTGAGCTCAAATCTGCCATATTTCATAAGATATTAATGTTAATATGTAATTCTGGTGAGTTTGAAGTGAAAATTTGTTTTAGTTTTTTAGAGATATATTGTTAAAAAAGGTGACATGGTTGCTAGATTTTGAATAACTCGCTTTTTTGGCAGTCTTGATATGGCCTCTTTCCATAAGTTTATTACTGTTTGTTCTTGTTGCAAGCTGTGCACCATCTTACGTTAGTGTTAACACTTTTAGCATTATAAACACAAGTAATAAGTAATGAAATACATTATTTGCAAGAATCTCAAAACACAATGATGCCAAATGACTTTAAAATACAACGGAAACAGTAACCTGGAAATTTAGGCTATACCGAGCTTGCAGCGTTCCCCAATGTAGAAAACACCATCCATATAAATGTAAACAATAACAATCTCGAGTTCAATACCTACTCTAGTTCCGGTTAGAAAGTTTGTAGCTGCTTACTACAGCTTATTCTGCTAGGCGATATTTTCAAATGGATAATTTTGTTTTCAATAAAGGAAATAAATTAGATAATTTCTGAGCATTTCATAAGATATTAATGTTATTAAGCAATGATGGTGAATTTGAATTTAAAATTTGTTTCAGTTAATTATAGATATATTGCTCAAAAAGGTGGCATGGTCGCTAGATTTAGAAAAATCAAACCACATGTTACTTCTACTTAATACTACAATTTTACAATTAATGTTAAAATTATATACCCTTTATAATTTTAACATTAATATAATTAAAATAATATAAGCGTACTGTCTTTTCAATTTTTCTTATTATATAACGACATTTTTATTAGTTATTGCATGTGGTATTTAGACTTCGAATTCGTTGTAAACACAAGAAAGAAAGAAACAAATACAACGTTTGCAAGCAGGGCCGTAACTACACCGGGGCAGTCGGGGCACAGCCCCGGGGCCCCGACGGTCAAGAGGGCCCCATATGAAGCGACCACATCATGTTTTTTCAAAATAAAGTACTCTAATTATATGTATGTAAGAAAGAAATTGTGTTAAGATAGAGTTGATGCAAATTTTCTTTTTTGTTATTGCGTACCTACTATAACACAAAGGAAACTATAACATAAAGGAAAGGGTAAAAAACGATAAAACATCTTTTCGCGAATTATTTCCCTTTCTCAAAAGGACAAACACGCTTTGCAGAGAAGGGTAAAGGCCACAACTGCATGTAGTTGATTGTTAACACTTTCTGTATATGGTTTACTTTACTCAGTTGTTTCCTCTACTATCTAGCGTCAGATCTAGTGGCGTGCCAACCAGGGGCAGACAGAGGGCCCCTCTAAAATTTAAGTGATGAGGTGAACGATGCGTTTCTCCCCTCCTGAAATTTAGACACTCACAAAAATAAAGTAAAATCGGTAATTCAAAAAAAAATTTTCATTCTCAATTTTGAAGCTATTTTTAAATAGAAAACTTTATATTCCTCTAACATTTATGTGCTTTACCTCTTCTGATATTTAGTTATTCGCCAAGACGAAGTCTAGTAAAATAGGTAATTTTAGAGAAAGACAAAAAAAAGTTATTCTTTCTCAGCTTTGAAAATATACATCAAGCAGGAAACTTTATTCTGTTATGGGCGATTAATGTGTTTTTTGATTTTTGGAAAAGTAAAGTAAAAGTGGAAAAAATATTTTATTTCCAATTTTCACTCTATTTTCTTCCGAAATAGTAATGAGGGGGTGAACATAGTGCTTCGCTTCTTCTGAAATTTTAAAGTGCTCAAAAATAATAAAAATTGGTAACTAAAAAAAATGTCATCTTTGAATCTATTTTCCAAATAGAAAGCTTTATTTTCTTCTAAAATAAAAGTGAGGGAGGGGGTGGAATTTGCTTCTCATCTTCTGAAATTTAAACATTAATAGAATAAAATCAAGTGAAGTTGGACATTTTAGAAGAAAAAAAATTGTTTTGTTACATAACTTCGGCGATATTTTCCAAATAGAAAACTTCATTTTTCTCTTAAATTATAGTAAGGGGATAGAAAACTTTATTTTCTTCTGATATAAAGTAAAGGGGGCTAAAATGTGTTTTGCATCTTCTGAAATTCAGACATTTGAAATAATAAAGTCTAGTAAAATTATTTAAAAAAAAAAAAAAAAACTTTGAAGCTATTTTCCAAAAAGAAAATTTTATTTTCCTCTTAAATTAAAGTGAGGGGGTGAATAATATACTTTACCCCTTCTGAAATTCAAACATTCGAAGGAACAAAGTCAAGCAGAATTTATATTTAACTCTTATTTTCGACTTTAAAACTATTTTCCAAATCGAAAACTTTATTTTCCTCTGAAATTTAATTGAGATGGAAGATAATATGCCCCAGCCCTTCTGAAAATTTGACATTCGCTACAATAAAGTAAAATAAAATTCAGAATTTTAGAAAAAGAAATTATTTTTTTTCCAATTTACTAGCTATTTTCCAAATTGAAATAACACCCCCCCCCCCACAAGAAAAATAGTTTGGTTTTGCTTCAGTTTTTTTCTACAAATTACAACTTTTAATTTATTAAAAAAATTTAAAACTAAAACACGAAAAGAGAAGAGGTGTTCATCATAAAAAAACATAACAGGTGTTTAGAAGACTAAAATAAGCACCACTGTTTTGCATCCTGAAAAATGCATCCTACACTGAGACTAATCGACATATTTTAAAGCATCTTTTGACTGTGGGTGGTATGAAGGTGTTAAAATCTTCATACCACCCGCAGAGTTAACCCACAGTTATCTGACTCCTCAAAAAATAGCCATCTCCTTTTACACTAAGAGGAAAATGACCTTTTGCTTCTTTAAATTGCCTAAATCATTTTTATGACCCTGGGCTCTTTTGTGCTTTTATGAAATGTCATATATTTACAGTACCATCTATATGTCCCTTAAGTTGTCTGAAACTAGCAATTATCTAGATGTTCTAGGAAAACGGATGTAAGCTTTTAAGGGATCCAAGGGGATGACTCTTGTTAACATTTACTTAGGTCATTTTGTCAAGAGATTTTTTCTGAGGCAAACGTAAAACGTTCCAGTTAAATTCCAGTTTTTAACTCATTTAACTGCATCAATTAAATTAATAATTTTTAATTCAGATATAAATTTTCTGTCAGCTTTCATTTTGTTCAATTTTTTAAATTAAAATTTAATTAAGAGTTATTAAAATTATTTACAACTTCCTTTTTTTCAAACATAAATCGTGATATCAATAATTCNGCTCTTAAATTTTTAATTAGTTTAAGTATTAAAAAATATTTTTCATCGAACGTACAAGTTGCAGGTGTGAAAAAATATAAACATAAGCATGTCAGAAGGCTTAACACCTCCAAACATACTATAAAATTTCGCCACTGTTTGTGAATATGAGAATTATGAGAATTGAATAATGTGTTATAATTAAATAGTTAAGCAGCCTGGACATGAAAAAGGAGGAAATCAATGTAATTCTTGCAATATATAATTATATATATTAAAAACAGAACATACCTGCCAAGATCAGAGAATTCGCTCACTTCAACAAGGTGCATTAATTCTCCTTCATCTTCAGCTGGTTTGAGTTTTCGGGCTCGCTAAATCGAAATTATTTTAATTCCACTTACATTATGCGCTAAGATATAAATCTTATGAGACGAAATTAGATTTAAATATAAGAAGACAAAATATAAATAGACGGCAGGTGTAGCCGAAAATGATAAACAGCATCTTAACGGGTTACGGTTCCGAGTGGTGAATATCATAGATTTCAGTATTTAGTGAAAACGATCGATGTCATGACAAAAACACGATTACAATATTGATAGCAAAAATTGTCCGGTTGTTGTTCGGATATCTCTAAATTTATATTTTAAATTTATTTTTTTGGAATTATAACAATTTGACGTCATTTTTTGTCTTTTAAATGATTAATTTTGATTTAAGAACACAATAAAGTTTTAAATGAAAATTTTACAAACAGATTTTTAATGTAAAATCGACGGGAATCGTACAATATCGTACACACAATTTCGGTTTTCGCCAATATTGACAATGTCGGTCGATGTAGACCAAAGCTGTTACAATATCCCTGTGCTACTTGGGGTGTATATCATTATAGCATGCATTTTTATGTACTGATATTTCAAGAAATTTCTAGCAAATGCATCACTAACAAAAAAAGATTTTTAAATTAATTAGTTAAATATTAAAATTGCATAACATATAAAAATTTATTTTGCTAATTAATATCAATTACTTAAAACATACATCGGTAAATTTATTAAATAAAAATTTAAAGTTCCTTAGAAAAGTTTAAATACTTTTAATTGTTCTATTATCCGAAACTGTTTAATAGAAATAATTATAAAATAATAGCACGATATTAAAAATGATAGAAAAAGAATAACAAAAATAAATCATTCCCTTCTGTAAATTGACTTCCTGTAAAAAAAAATAATTTATTAGTAACATGTGTTTTAAATAAGCACTCTAGATGGCAGCACTAAAATCGAACACAGTAAAGAAAGAAAGGAAATTTGTAGATACAGTGGTGATTCTGAATGAATTTCAAGTATGATACTCCGATAAAAAAATTTCCACTTCCAATAACTTCGCAGGAAAAATTTTTATATTTATGAATTTCGAAAGCACTTAGTTCTTTCAGAAATCGTATTA